CGAAAATGTGTTTTCGACGCTCTAAAATTACTTTTGGGTATGGTTTGGCATGCTGACTGTGGCGCCTGCGGTGCAAGCAAGCAAGAAGCATGAGCAGTAGGAAGGAGAGCAATCGGTGGCCCAGAATGCAGTTCACACCCTCCGAGTGATCCGAAAAGGTGTTTTCGACGCTCCAAAATTACTTTTGGGTATGGTTTGGCATGCCGGCTGTGGCGCCTGCGGGTGCAAGCAAGAAGCATGAGCAGTAGGAAGGAGAGCAATCGGTGGCCCACACACTCTCCGAGTGATCCGAAAAGGTGTTTTCGACGCTCCGAAATTACTTTTGGGTATGGTTTGGCATGCCGACTGTGGCGCCTGCGGGTGCAAGCAAGAAGCATGAGCAGTAGGAAGGAGAGCAATCGGTGGCCCAGAATGCAGTTCACACTCTCCGAGTGATCCGAAAAGGTGTTTTCGACGCTCCGAAATTACTTTTGGGTATGGTTTGGCATGCCGACTGTGGCGACGGCATGAGCAGTAGGAAGGAGAGCAATCGGTGGCAAAGAATGCAGTTCACACTCCCCGAGTGATCCGAAAAGGTGTTTTCGACGCTCTAAATTACTTTTGGCATGCCGACTGTGGCGCCTGCGGTGATCCGACAAGGTGTTTTTGACAAAAATTACTTTTGGGTATGGTTTGGCATGCCGACTGTGGCGCCTGCGGGTGCAAGCAAGAAGCATGAGCAGTAGGAAGGAGAGCAATCGGTGGCCCAGAATGCAGGTTCACACCCTCCGAATGATCCGACAAGGTGTTTTTGACGCTCCGAAAATTACTTTTGGGTATGGTTTGGCATGCCGACTGTGGCGCCTGCGGGTGCAAGCAAGAAGCATGAGCAGTAGGAAGGAGAGCAATCGGTGGCCCAGAATGCAGGTCACACTCTCCGAGTGATCCGAAAATGTGTTTTCGACGCGCTAAAATTACTTTTGGGTATGGTTTGGCATGCCGACTGTGGCGCCTGCGGGTGCAAGAAGCATGAGCAGTAGGAAGGAGAGCAATCGGTGGCCCAGAATGCAGTTCACACTCTCCGAGTGATCCGAAAAGGTGTTTTCGACGCTCCGGAATTACTTTTGGGTATGGTTTGGCCCTTCCAGCAACCTCCAAATAGCAAGCCGGGGAACGCAGTTTTGAGCAACAAGCCGGGGAGTGTAGCTTTGGTCAAAAGCACCCAATAGGCGCGTCTTGAGTGTTCAGTGGCTTGTGGGTATGGTTTGGCTGGCTTGTGGGTATGGTTTGGCCCTTCCGGCAACCACAAAAGCAAGGCGTGCAGCAATTTCTGCGGCATTCTGGGCCACCGATTGCTCTCCTTCCTACTGCTCATGCTTCTTGCTTGCACCCGCAGGCGCCACAGTCGGCACGCCAAACCATACCCAAAAGTAATTTTGGAGCGTCGAAAACACCTTTTCGGATCACTCGGGGAGTGTGGTCTGGGCCACCGATTGCTCTCCTTCCTACTGCTCATGCTTCTTGCTTGCACCCGCAGGCGCCACAGTCGGCATGCCAAACCATACCCAAAAGTAATTTTGGAGCGTCGAAAACACCTTTTCGGATCACTCGGGGAGTGTGAACTGCATTCTGGGCCACCGATTGCTCTCCTTCCTACTGCTCATGCTTTTTGCTTGCACCCGCAGGCGCCACAATCGGCACGCCAAACCATACCCAAAAGTAATTTTGGAGCGTCGAAAACACCTTTCCGGATCACTCGGGGAGTGTGGTCTGGGCCACCGATTGCTCTCCTTCCTACTGCTCATGCTTCTTGCTTGCACCCGCAGGCGCCACAGTCGGCATGCCAAACCATACCCAAAAGTAATTTTGGAGCGTCGAAAACACCTTTTCGGATCACTCGGGGAGTGTGAACTGCATTCTGGGCCACCGATTGCTCTCCTTCCTACTGCTCATGCTTCTTGCTTGCACCCGCAGGCGCCACAGTCGGCATGCCAAACCATACCCAAAAGTAATTTCGGGGCGTCGAAAACACCTTTTCGGATCACTCGGAAAGTGTGAACTGCATTCTGGGCCACCGATTGCCACAGTCGGCATGCCAAACCATACCCAAAAGTAATTTTGGAGCGTCGAAAACACCTTTTCGGATAACTCGGAGAGTGTGAACTGCATTCTGGGCCACCGATTGCTCTCCTTCCTACTGCTCATGCTTCTTGCTTGCACCCGCAGGCGCCACGTGTGAACTGCATTCTGGGCCACCGAAGTACTGCTTGCTCTCCTTCCTACTGCTCACGCTTCTTGCTTGCGCCCGCAGGCGCCACAGGGCATGCCAAACCATACCAAAAAGTATTTTTAGCGTCGAAAACACCTTTTCGGATCATTCGGGGACATTTTTGGCCACCGAAGTACTGCTTGCTCAAAACGATACCCAAAACGACACCGAAACCACATCCCTGGAATTGCAGCGTTCACATGGCGCGGGGGGGTGGCCCATTCGTTGCTCGTGCTCGAAAAGAGCTTGTGGACTCAGAGGTGGAGCCGTAGCCCAAGTAAAAGGTGCTGCATGGTGCTGCTGTGCTTCAAGTTGTTTATAAGTCTCGCTTGCAGCTACCAAGTCACCGGACAGCAGTCCGGGCTCCTGGCTTCTGCCTTCTTCCCTTGCTCCCTTCCTTCTTCTTCTGCCCTGCCTCCCTTCCTCTTCCGCCCTGCCTCCCTTCCTCTTCCTCCCTTCCTCTTCCTCCCTTCCTCTCTTCCCTTCCTCTTCCTCCCTTCCCTTCCACCCTCCTTTTTCCATTGCACCATCCTTCCTTGCTCCCTTACTCCCTGGATTCCTTTATCCCTTCCTCCCATCCTTCTTCCCTTCGTCCTTTCTCCTCCTGCTTTCTCTTCCTCCCAGTTTCTCTTCCTCTGCTCTCTTCCTCCATTCTTTCTCTTTCCCCCTTCCACCCTTCCTTGACATAAACACACCAGTGTCTGAAACATTGCAGAACGATATAGCGAAGCCCCAAAAACGATAACGTGTTGCTCGAAATCGCCCAAGGTAGTCTTAGGTTTTGCCTCTCGCTCATGTGTTTTTTTTTATGCAAGTTAAAGCTGGTTGTGATGTTTCGGTCATTTGCGATCAAAACTATGCTATGCAGTCCGCACACTGCAATGGCAATACTTAGAGCAACATCTTGCACTGCTGTGCGCTCCAATGGTTGCATTCGATCGCGCCCAGTTGCCGTTGCTAGCGGACCGGGCAAGATGCTACAGGCAACCCGTAGCATTGCGTGCTTTGGATCTGACCTGTTCCCAGTTTCGCCATGCTTTGCCTTTGCCTGAACTTGGTACGTGGCGACTTGGCGGTCAGCGCCTCTAGTTATAGCGCAAATACCCGGAGGATTGTCAAAGCTGGGCATCGTTCTGTGCTGCAGCCCCTGACGCAAACAGGGAATAGAAGGTGCAAATGATCAGAATTGCCAGCGGCCACTGTCGTAAATGTGGCTCTTCCGATTCTGTTCTTGTGAGTTGTTGCGGAGCGATGATTGGGGGCACACAAAGAAGGGACAGCATCCCAGTCACGGGTCACAATCAAAACCCGGGCAGATGAAGGTTAGTAAGGGGCAGTCCCAGCCGGAAATAGTTGGGGCCGTTAACTAGTTCTAGTTCTGGGTTCACATTTTTTGTGCCAGGTTCGGATTATGATTCATATGGAGTTCAGGCGTGAGTTTGCCATGAACAAGCTCGTGCGTGCTGGCATATCTCCACGCCATGCATCAGCAATAGGGTGTACAATCAATTGTCCCTGGCCCTTTTTCGAGCTCGGTGTGACCTGCCGCGCTTCCCCAAGAATGCTAGCAATGATGTCAGGTTTCTCGAAAGGGCACGTGTCCCAAGCTATGGCCCTATTGGTACTGTCAATCCCCCAGCACCGTCCACTGTGAGGCCTAGCTCGCCTGAGGGACCAAAACGGCCCACCAAAGGAACTATGGGAAGCAAACATGGCGATCCTGTTGCCAGCCGGCGCTTTGGGCACACCGTCCCATGGTCGGGCAGATCTCAAGCACGTGCTTGGAACTGTTCTCAACTCGGTTCAACAACCATGTTGAGCCATGAAGATGTTTAATCATGACCAGAATCCCACCCAAACGTGCATTCGCACATCCACAGCCCAACTTGTTTTCAGACCACGGCCTAGACAAAATGCGTTGTTTGTGTTGTGGCTGGTGGAAAACAAGACTGGAACATATTGGGCTCAAAATGCGGGCCCTAAACAATGTCAGCTTTGACCAAGGATTTCGGAGGCCCCTGCTAAGCTGTGCAAAGCCAACACTCAGAACCAAGCACCGGCCTCACGTGATACCATGGGATGCTGGTGGATGCCGAGGGCCCTTGTCCGCATCCGAAAAGACAGGCAGCAACTTCCCTCCAAGTAGCTTCAACAAAGATGATGCTGGTCATGTTTTTGTTCACCCGCTCGCAGCTGTGGAAAACCCAACAAGAAAGGGGCCCTGTCAGACCCGGAGCCCCCCAAATGGCCCATCCCAAAGCCCAGCTCACAAAAATGACAGTCTAAAAATTAAAAGCTGCCTAAATCAGCCCAAAGAGAGAATCTCTCGAGCCCACAAGATCTGGAAACCAAGAATGGGGGCTTTATTGCGTGCAGAAAAATTTGAGCTGGCCCGAGAAAAGCGGGGGAACAGTGCAACTGCGCTTGCCTTCTCCTTCCTGGCCAGGCACAGAAGCGGTGGTTGTGGCCAAAGTGCCGAAGCCACGACCGCCTTCGTATTTGAAGGCGCTCCAGACCAAGCCCAAGCCACAACGTCATTCACTGGTGGCATACAGCTCCAGCGAGGACGAGGAACAAGAAGCCGAGGCGAGTGAAAGGAGTGACAAAATGCGCTTTCGCGGCAGTTGACCATGTACATGCGAATTGCACTTGGGGGTGCCGCAATCTTTGCCATGCCCCACGCAAAGCGAGCCTTCCATGACCTGTTATGCTGTTCCCGCGCGCTTGGGCGCTTGGCTCAGCCTAACGAGCCATGGCGTGGCGTTGTTCCGCCACCGGCCATGCGGAGCTCGTGCGAAACCTCCGCAAGGCAAGTGTGTGTTCGTTTGTTTTTTGGGGGGGTTCTCCTTAAAAAAGCAAATACTATGTTCCATCACGGACTGTAAATCCAAATGAATTGCAGCCACTACTTTCCAAAGCTGACTTGTTGCAATTGCTTGGCGCTCAGCGCAGCGCTGTGTATTTTCTCATTGTTTAGTTTTGTCTTGGGCTTCTAGCTGCAGAGTTCCAATGGCTGTGTGGTATGCTAAGGACACCCGTGGCAAAGCTGCAAGCCCTGTGCCCCATTCAAGCGCACCCTTTGAAATACCTCCCTAATGGCAATACATATAATATATAGGCATATGCGTACACGTATTCCTGGGAGAAAGTCAATGGTGCCTTAAGGAGTTTCACTTGGGCTCTCGTCCAACTGGGTTTCGTCCACAAACGCAATAATCCACACTACGATTTAGGTGGAACTCTTGAAGGCAAGTCTTTGAATTCCATCTTTTGTAAGGTTGGCGGTCAAGGATAAGACAATATTCATTGATAGGCCGAACTGTTTACGATGCGGACTGCATTGCTGTTCAGCTCTTTGTGCTGGGCAGCCTCGCAGCCAAATTCCAATGTGGGTGTGTCTGAAAATGAGAGACCCCAAACTATTGCATATGCCCTTCTGCTTTCCCTTTTAGTTCTCCCACCAATTCGCCTTGGAATCGTTTTGTTGCTTTTTCCAGCCATGCCAGGCTGGCGTGATACACTCCGATGCTGTGGAGAGAGCCATGCTCTCGGTGGATCGCAGCAACTACACGCCGAGGAACCCCTACACGGATGCGCCGCAAGCCATCGGGCACCAGGCGACCATCAGCGCCCCCCACATGCACGCCCATGCCCTGGAGCTGCTCGAGCGCCATCTGCGCCCAGGCGCGAATGCCGAGCGAATGCCTGGGGTCCGGAGAAGCCGGTGATGTTTAAAAAAAAAAGGCGGGGGGGGGGGGGCGGGAAATAGTTACTAGGGGGGGTGTAAGGCAGGGAATTGTCAGTTTTCAGTTTCAGGGGCAGGGTTAGTTTTCAAGCAGTAAAACACCAAGAGGGATTGTAAGGATTTTTGTTCAGATTTGTTAAACATTTGTTCATAATGAAACAGGTTAGGATATTTAACCATTTACATGGTTAGGATTATGGATTTATCAACCATATTATAAATTAACAATATGATAGATAATTATGGTTCTGTTTCATTTACTATATTCATGTTGTTTAGATGTGTTTTAGTTCGCTCATGTCTTGCTTTGTGATGAAAAGTCACCATAACTTTACAGCAGGGACATTCATATCGCCATTGTCGATATTCTTTGTTATATTCTTTTTTGTGTTCCTTATTTCGTTCATAATATTCCTTTGCCTGTTGCCTTTCCTTTTCTCGGTTCTGTCTATGTTTCTCTCTACTTTTCTCACCACACCCATTACAGAGTTTTCTATTGTCAGTAAATTCTACATCTGGGTTAGACTTTTTACACCAACTACATTTTCGCTTATTTTGTTCCTCCATAATAAGTATACCCATTAACCCTTTAAGTGTTCTTGGGTATTTTACAATATATTTGTTTTACATTTTTTTCATTTAATAACAGTCTAAGATATTGACATGTTCAAGGTTCGGGTTTCAGACAATTTTTAAGCTTTCTGGGGGATAGAGGGTTACGTATTTTTAGTTTGCTTGTCATTGTTTGTTTTGGGCATTTCATCAAAAGACCCACCTTCATTTCATCAAACGCCCCACCTTCATTTCATCAAACGCCCCACCTTCATTTCATCAGTGTTGAGGAAATCATTTCATCAGTGTTGAGGAAATCATTTCATCAGTGTTGAGGAAATCATTTCATTAGTGTTGATGAATGGCAGTGGTGATGCTGGTGACTTTTTATGATGCTTATGATGCTACCCATCCCCAAACCAACATTTCAAGGTTGAGCTCAAACCAGACTGTTTTCAATGTTGAACCCAACCCCAATCCCATAACCACCAAACATAAACAAAACTACTTAAAGAGAAAATACCTTATATAGTATAGATATATGGCAGGGGAATACAGTTCGGGTTCAGTAATTGACTATTTGTTATCCAGAAAAGAAGCAACCATAAAAACAGGGAAGAATAACAAACCATTGAAAAACTAATCATCAACGACAAAGAAAAACCATTATCCACATCACTTCAAAACAAACTCAATCAAGTCAGCAACGCACAAGGATTCAAACGATTTAATCTTCTAAAAAAAGCATCAAACACAATGAGAGGCATTAAAACAATCCAGAAATACAGATTAAAAATATGAGCAAAAACATCAGAGACATTTTCGGCATTGAAAGGATATGCCAACACATATTCAATAACCAACATACCATTCAAGGAATACAAAGGATTAACATATCTTTTATGGCAAGAAAAGAAACTAACAGAGTTTTTACAACACGCAAAATCAATGAAACTACTGATTGATGTTGAGGTTCCGTTTGATAAAGTTAATGTAGGTGGTGATGAAACAGAAGACACTGTCAGTGCATCAAACACGCTTGGAATATCTACCAAAGATGAAAATGATGTACAAATAAAACACAATATGAGAAGCAGGAGATATAACATTCTAAATGTAGGAGACTTGAAAAAGCCTTGGAAAATATACCTAAAGATATTGAACTACAAATTGAAAACTCACCTTTGAAACACTCAGGATTGAAGATTAATAAGATTAACAAAATCACCATCCACTACGACAAATACAATCCGAACAGAGCAGGAAGATATATGGAACTACCAGAATGGATTTCAAAGAAAAAGGCATGTATCAACATACAGAATGAAGATGAGTTATGTTTTAAATACTGTGTTTTATGTAAATTTTATGAAGTCTTCAAGAAAGACCATCCACAACATATGAGACACTACAAGAAATTAATAACTACTGAAAGTCTAATTAAATGGGATGGTGTAAATTTTCCAGCATCCAACGATGACATAGACCATTTTGAAGAAATCAATAACAAATCTATATCAGTTAATGTTTATGTTGAAGATGTGAACCAAACCATCAGAGCAGACAGAACAACAAAAATTGAAAGACCATCTTGTCATATTAATTTGTTACGAATTGAACAAAACAACAACGAACATCATGTTTTAATAAAAGATTATAATAGATTAATGGGTAGTCAAACCAACAATCACAAAACAAAGATATTTCATTGTATTTACTGTCAGCACGGTTTTCAATCAGAAAAACTTAAATTCTCACTTAATAAAAGGTTGCATGGCAAATGAAATTCAACAAGCAAAAATGCCAGAAGAAGGAACATCAATGAAGTTTGAAAAGCATTTTAAGAAACTGAAAGCGCCATTTGTTACTTACGGTGATTTTGAATGTTTAACAACAGAAACATCAGAAGGCATCAAAGAGACTTATCAGAACCATAAACCCAGCGGTTATATGCTTAACCTTGTTAATGCTTACAGTGGTGCAATGAAACCATTTTTATATAGAGGCGAAGATTGTATTGATAAGTTTTGTGAAACATTAAACAATATTAGAGATGATGTTATGGAACAAATGAAAGAGTCAAAAGATATTGATATGACAGATTTAGATTAAATTAAATATTTAGAAGCTAAGAAGTGTTTCTTATGTAATCGCGCTTTTGACAACAGAGTAGAAGCGAAAAAACAAGTTGCTGACCATTGCCACTTTACTGGATTATACAGAGGAGCGGCACATATGAAATGCAATATAGACTATTGTTTTAAACAATCTCATAGACCAGTATTCTTTCACAATCTTAAAAACTATGATGCTCACCTAATAATTTCTAATCTTGAAAAGCTAAACACAAAGAAAGAAAGCATATCAGTAATAGCACAGAACAGTGAGAAGTTTATTACATTTTCATTAAACAGACTTGAATTTAAGGATAGTTTCAGTTTCTTGTCATCATCATTAGATAAACTGGTTAAATGGACAAAGTATGAAGATAATAAATTAAGGGACAACTGGCAGGAAAATTTCAAATACAGTTTCAAAGGCAAATACATTAAAAACGAAAAAGATTTATTTTTACTGACAGAAAAGGGAGTTTATCCTTATGACTATTGTAATGACTTCAATAAATTGAATGACACTGAACTACCAGAAAAGAAACATTTTTATAGTAGATTAAGTGAAGAAGATACAAGCGATGCTGACTATGAAAGAGCAAAACTAATATGGAAGCACTTTAACATCAAAAACCTCGGTGAATATCACGGTTTATATTTAGAAACCGATGTATCACTATTAACCGATGTATATGAAAATTTCAGAAAACAATGTTTAACTGATTATGAATTAGACCCCGCCCATTACTACACATTACCTAACTTTGCTTGGGACGCGATGTTATTAAAAACAGGAATTGAACTTGAACTTTTACACGATGAAGAAGTTTGTAAAATGATAGAGCAAGGACTAAGAGGCGGTATGTGTCAGGTTTCAATGAGAAAAGCAACTGCTAATAATAAGTATATGGGTGATGATTATGATGAAACAAAACAATTATTTAGATGCTAATAATCTTTATGGACTGGCAATGTGTAAGAAACTACCATACAAGAAAATAAGATTTGTAAAAGATAATTTCACAGAAGAAGGCATTAAATATCACGACAGTAATTACAGCAGCAAAGGTTATATTTTAGATGTTGATTTAGAATATCCGAAAGAATGCCCGACAAACATACTGATTATCCATTAGCACCAGAAATTATGAGTGTATCAGCAGATATGCTTAGTGATTATCAGAAAGAAACCTACAAAGCATATCATTTTAATAATGCTCCAAAAGATGAGAAAACAAACAAGTTGATACTAAATGTTATGGATACACAAAATTTTGTTTTACATATTGACATTTTAAAATTCTGTTTGAAACAAGGACTTAAAATCAAGAAAATAAACAGGTAATAGAATTTAGACACAAGCAATGGTTGAAACCGTGGATTGACTTTAACACAGAGAAGCGAAAGAACGCTACAAGCGACTTTTCAAAAGATATGTACAAATTAATGAACAACGCTGTATACGGCAAGACTATGGAAAATGTGAGAGAACACATTGACTTTGAGCTGGTTGATACACCTGAACGCTACCAAAAATGTGTGAATAATCCAAATTTCAATTACAGACATATCATCAATGAAAATCTTATAGGAGTTGAAAAAGCAAAAAGTGTAATTAAATTGAATAAACCAATATATGTAGGAATGAGTATTTTAGATTTATCAAAACAACATATGCATTCATTTTACTATGACATTATGAAACCGAAATATAGAAATAATATCAGAATGTTATATACTGATACTGACAGTTTTGTATTACATATTAAAACCGAAGATGTATATGATGACTTTAATGACATTAGGGATTATAGGGATTTCAGTGGTTATGACCCTAAACACAAATGTTATGATAAAACAAACAAAAGGAAACTTGGTTGCTTTAAGGATGAAGCAGATGGAAAGATTATAGCAAACTTTATAGCATTGAAACCTAAATCATACTGTTTCAAGATACATAACGAAGAGACAGAAGAAAAGAAGAGCAAAGGAATAGTTAAACATAAAGTGAGGAAGGGACTGACATATAATTCTTATGATGACACATTGAAAAACAATAAGTGCGACACGATAACATTCAACAGCATAAGAAGTAAAGCCCATCAAATATACAGCATCCAACAAACAAAACAATCGCTTAGTGCCTATGAGAATAAACGCTATTACAGAGACAGTATTAATTCTTTGCCATACGGACATCACCTTTGCTTTAAAGAGTAGATTACCTATATAGGTAGATGGATACAAAAGGACAGATTGATTATTCAAAAGGTACAATTTATAGCATCAGAAACAACATTGATAATGATGTCTATGTTGGTTCAACCGTGAGACCACTACATAAAAGATTTGAGGCACATAGAAGTTGTGTAAAGAACAACAGACTTGAATGTTTAAATCTCTATAGTAAAATGAAGGAACTTGGTATGGATAATTTTTATATAGAACTGGTTGAAGAATGCCCGTGTGAAAATGTAGAGCAATTGAAACGCAGATAAGGTCAAGTCATTAGAGACATAGCAACATTGAATATGCGTATTGCTGGACGCATCAAACAAGAATATGACAAAGAATATAGAGCAAATAACAAGGATAAAAAACATCAACAATACAGAAACTACTACGAACAAAACATTGACAAAGTCAAGCAACAAATCAATGCGTGGGCGTCAAGACCTTGTATTTGTGAATGTGGTGAGACAATAAGACGAGACAGTTTAAGAAGACTTCTAAAATCAACCAAGCACAAAACCTTATTACAAGAACTTAACAAAAGTAGCGAGTAGAATTTACAAATATACTTAAAGAAATAATGGTATTTTATATTACGTAAAATGACCTGCTTTATTGTAGATGGCAATAAAAATAAAATTTCTATGACAAATGATGAATTTGATTTGTTGTGGAATTCTATTGAGGGTGAAGTTTCAGACTTCAGCACGGATACAGAGGAAGAAATTAAGAAGGCAAAGGAAAAGGAAAGTAAGAAACATATAATGTTGTATTAAACAAGAAATACAAAGAAGAAGGATACTTCAAAGATTATTTTATAGAAAATGATAAGTCATTAGAATGTGAAAGATGCGGATGTATGATTAAAAGTAAGTCTAATATGGCAAAGCATTCAAGGACCGATAAATGTAATAGAATTCATAGAGAAAGAGCTTATCAGAATGCTGTTGAGAAAGTATGTTATAGATATTTAACAAATACAAATTGATAACATTATCTTAAAATAATGTTATTCATTTATTAAGAGAAATTCGTGTCTGTTATATTTCTTGGTATTACCTTCAATTTCATAATACTTATTAAGCATCATATCACGACCTACATTTGTTATTTTGTATGTTGATTGACTCCATTTTGAAGTGGTTTCTTTTCTTGATGTGTAATTACCTTTTCCTTTGTTATAAGTTTTGACTTTATCACCGACATTTAATTTAGGGTACTTTCGTAAATACTTCTCTTTCATTAATGAGTTCGCCTTCGCTTCCACAGCGTTTTCGTCTTTGTGTGCTTCATTAGGTGTAAGTTTTGTCGTCCCGTGTGTCATTTGTTGATTATACTTGTTTAAGACTGCTTGCAATAAACTCGTCCGAGTTCTATCAGTCGCTTTTATTCTGTCTCCCAACATCTTTTTAACTGCGCGAATGGAGCGTTCAGCAACATTAGCGTGTGTCAGTGTTATGATGCTTCGCACACTCCCGAAATAGCACAAGGTGCAACGTCATCATCATCTGGCTTACAACCTGACAAAGATAAAGACGACAAGACACCTGAAATAGCCAAACCAAAAAAGACAATACAAAAAGACAAAACAGCACCCTCAAGAATGAACATACAACTGTTGGACGAAGCATTCAAAGAAGGATTGAACAAAGGGAAAATTAAAAAAAAATGAATTTAGTAAATACAAAGATATGTTTGATAAATGGAAAACAACAAAAACAAAACGGACGATATAAAACCAGTTCAATCATTATACCGTGAATTAATAGATAAGAAATAACAAACATGATTTAGACATAAAATAATGCTGAAAGTGAAACTGATGAAACTGAAACCCAAAATACCAACCCTACAAAAACTAAAAATACTTAAAGAAATGACCCCTTAATATATTAAGAGAAAAAATGAATAAGTGTATCAGAGAAGAATTGACAAAATAAATTGTAAAATGCCGTGGTTGTAAGATATTCAACAACAAAGCTAAAAAAGCAAATGACATATTACCTGACTGTATCATTGATAATATTTTGAGTTTTGTAAGTTGTAAAAGATGCACCATTACAAAACATTTAATGAAAAACGAACCTGACAATTTAAAAGAAATGGATAAGTGGATTTGGTATATGACGAGGTTAAATAAATGTCCAACGAAAAAGTCATTACATACAATATTTACAACTGATTTAGACAAAACATTAAAAGAGTATGGATACGATAATAGGTTAATCTTGTATTATGAAACCGCTACTCAATTTCATTATAATTTTCTTTTTCATAGTCATGATGGTTATGTATCTTGTAGAAATTTTAACATTTCAATGTGTAGAGATTTTCTTAAAATGTTGAAATGGCAATATATGAGCCACGGACAAAACGCACGAAGACCACTTTATCAAGGCGGGGTACGTTTTTGCATAACACATGCCAAAACCATGGAAAACGATAAGGTCTCCCCCAAAAACGATAACCCTTAACTAACACACGCCTCTATAATAACCCCTGCAGTTGCAACTTAGTTAGGGTGGGACCCTGGAGTGGCCACCGTAAAACGAGAAGGCGAGTCGCCACTTTCGAGCTGGAGCTGCCAAGGTGTGCTTCGTAAATACGCCACTTGTACTGAGAAGTTGCGATTTTCGAGCTGGAGCTGCGGAAGTGTACTTTGCGTATTAGACTTGCGCGACAAAGTTGTGATTTTTAGGCTGGAGATGCGGAAGTGTACTTCGCGTACTAGACTTGTACTACAAAGTTGCGATTTTCCAGCTGGAGCTGCGGAAGTGTACTTCGCACACTAGGCTTGCACTACAAAGTTGCGATTTCCGAGCTGGAGATGCGGAAGTGTACTTCGCGTACTAGACTTGTACTACAAAGCTGCGATTTTCGAACTGGAGCTGCGAAAGTGTACTTCGCGTGCTAGATTTGTACTACAAAGTTGCGATTTTCGAGCTGGAGATGCGGAAGTGTACTTCGTATACTAGACGTGTACTACAAAGTTGCGACTTTCCGAGCTGGAGCTGCGGAAGTGTACTTCGCGTACTAGACGTGTACTACAAAGTTGCGATTTTCCAGCTGGAGCTGCGAAAGTGTACTTCGCGTACTAGACTTGTACTACAAAGTTGCGATTTTTGAGCTGGAGCTGCGGAAGTGTACTTTGTGTACTAGACTTGTACTACAAAGTTGCGATTTTCGAGCTGGAGATGCGGAAGTGTACTACAAAGTTGCGACTTTCCGAGCTGGAGCTGCGGAAGTGTACTTTGCGTACTAGACTTGTACTACAAAGTTGCGATATTGGAGCCGGATCTGCCAAAGTTCGAAAACACTGTAAAACGATAAGGTCTCCCCCAAAAACGATAACGTTCAAAAAAGTACTAGGGCCAAGTAAAGTGTTTCGTCCACTCCTCATATAGAAAACAAAGACAAAGTCGTTTATAAAACCATTTTTGATAATGAGTTTTACCATAAATTCGTCTGTCATTTGTTAGAAAAGAAAAGGTTGATTATAGAATGGTTTAACTATAGAGATACTGTTGATAGTGATTCAGATTAAGTTTATTAGTATTATTATCTTGTAATATTATTAAACACTTGAAATCCACAGAAAGCCATAAAATTGTCTGAAACCCGAACCTTGAAAATGTCAATATCTTAGACTGTTATTAAATGAAAAAAATGTAAAACAAATATATTGTAAAATTCCCAAGAACACTTAAAGGGTTAATGGGTATAATTATTATGGATGAACAAAGTAAGCGAAAATGTAGTTGGTGTAAAAAGTCTAACCCAGATGTAGAATTTACTGATAAGAGAAAACTCTGTAATGGGTGTGGTGAGAAAAGTAGAGAGAAACATAGACAGAACCGAGAAAAGGAAAGGCAACAGGCAAAGGAATATTATGAACGAAATAAGGAATACAAAAAAAATAACAAAGAATATCGACAATGGCGATATGAATGTCCCTGCTGTAAAGTTATGGTGACTTTTCATCACAAAGCAAGACACGAGCGAACTAAAAAACATCTAAACAACATGAATATAGTAACTGAAACAGAACCATAATTATCTATCATATTGTTAATTTATAATATGATTGATAAATCCATAATCCTAGCCATGTAAATGACAATATCCTAACCTGTTTCATTATGAACAATTGTTTAAAAAATCTAAAAATTCCCTACAATCCCCCTTGGTGTTTTGAACGAAATGTTAGACTGCTTGAAAACTAACCCTGCCCCTGAAACTGAAAACTGAAAATTCCCTGCCTTACACGCCCCCTATTAACTATTTTTTTTTGGAGGGGGATGGGACGTTTAACCAAAAACAACGCGGTGGGAATGGGAATTCGAGATGACTCATGAGTCAATATAGAGATGTGGGGTTGTGTAATCTACACATGGGAGGCTGCCGGAGACCAAGTGCCTGTGAATTCGGCTCACGCAAGCTTTCGGGGACAATCCAGAGGTCAGCCGCCTCCCCTCATGAGCTAAAGCCTAGAACGAGTTTCGTGCAGAAGATCTTCGATGCCAGGCATGCGGGCCCTGGATGTGGGCAGCGGAAGCGGGTACTTGTCTGCGGTGATGGCCAGAATGGTGGGCGAGGAGGGGAAGGTGATCGGTATTGACTACTTGTGGCCACTGGTGGATTTAGCTGTCGCGAATGTGCACAAGGCTGACGCGGACTTGCTGAATAGCATCTTAGAAGAATTGCTTCAAGCGCTGCTTACATCATTTAGAACACACGTAGCCTGCCTCGCGAAGCCTTTCAATACCTAGCTGCCGACTGTCGCAAGCCAAGGCGGCACCCTTCAGTTTGAACAGGGTGATGGCTGGAAAGGCTATGAGAAGGCAGGCCATTGCATGTCACGCAGGCCATTGCATTTCAGTGAATCCGCTCAGCCATCGTCTTGCTGATGCATTTGGCCGAGCAGAAGCTGATAGAAGCTGGGATCACCTCAGACGACTTGTTTTGGGATCATTCTTTCTATCAGATGCAAGCTGATTCTCAGACCCAGGCATCAAAATAGCAAGTATTCACGTCCATTGCCTCCCCCCCCTGGCTCCCTGGTCTTAAGGGGTTCTGGCATCCTGGGTCAGGTCCCTCAGGCCCCAATTCATAGCCTAGACCCGCTTGGAGCCAAGCATCAACTTACGTTTTGGGAACCAATCCCAGGCGCCAAGAACCAGTTTCCTACGTGGCCAACGAAACTGCCCGAGAGCTGACAGGCCTCGCCTTTCGACGCCATCCATGTGGGGGCTGCAGCCGAGCGGCTGCCTCAGAGACTTCAGCGTGGAGCGCTTCATGGCCCCTTCAAAAAGAACCCGCCCAGCCATCCATCCACATCCATCCACCTCCATCCACATCCGTCCACATCCATCCACCCATCCATCCATTTCAGTTGGGAAGGCCGTTTCTGGGTTGCTGAAGGATAGTAGAAGCATAGCCTGACCAGTGCTTGACAGGGTGTGCCAATGATTTCTAGTTGGAGCGGTGGCCCATTGCGCTTGAACATCTCCCTGCGTGCCATAGGTCAGTGCCGGAGTCACTGCTGGAACAGCTCAAGCCGGGTGGCCGCATGGTCATCCCAGCCAGGCACCCGTGTCATTTCACAGGAGAGAATTACCTGCTAGCATTGCTTGCCTTATCATCAGCCCTGTGTGGCCATACCCTTGCAGATTGAAGCGCCAGCACGCATGCCTTCAGTTGACCTCAGCATCGATGCGCCAAGGTTGGCACCGCATCACAGCAATTCTGCACCATTGATGCTGAGCTTGCATTTGTTCGTGGAGTTTGGTCGACGTGCTGCCATTGCGTCAAGCCAGCCTTGCTGATTGACATTCATGGGAACTTGCTGAAAACTGAAAGGTGCTCGCAGTCAGCTGAGCAGACCAGAAAAATACAGCTTTGTGTTCTGCATGTTCGAGAAATTGTGTTTGCCGGTTGCGGCGTTGGCCGCGCACTGTGCATTTCACGGAGTGCCAACCAGTGAACCTGAAATTGAATTGTTGATTCCAAGGACCGCCTGCCCAATGGCAACTTTGAGCAGAAGAGCTTGATGGGAGCACCTTGGCCTGCAAGTGCCACCAGGTTCTCAGCACGTGGTGTAGAAATTGTGCAACCATGTGGCTAGAAGGAAGCTGCGGCACTGCCGCTGCACCTTTCGAGGTGATGTACGTGCCATTGGTGCATCCGTCCAGCCCGTGACCAGCGAGCGCCAAGGCAGGCGTTGTTGCAGGGCTGGAGCGATTTGAGTGGCGACCCAGCTTGCCACATGGTTTGATTGAATCCTTGGGAAACTAGCTAGCGGTTAGCTTGCCATGGCTTATGTGGGCGAAGTATTGTTTAACACTTCTTAGCAGCATTTGCAGATGACTGTGTGCTTGATGTATCATGTTGGGACTACTTCCTACCTATGGTTGGTATTGGAATGTTGTTGCCCACCTCCATGCTTCTGGGGCGCAACTGCGGAAGAGTAACACAGACCCGGGCTTTTTTCTATTTGGTTTTGATAGAGCCGAAGGGGTTTCAGCCACTTCTGCCAGCTGTGTTTTCTTGCGCGCCGACAAGGCTGGCTGGACAAGGCCAACTCTTACCAAGCTCTGAAAAAGGCAGAGCGGCCGTTGCAAAGACCCGCAGCAGAAACACGTTTCAAAGCTTGGCAAATTCAATTGTCTACTGAAGGCCAACGATCTGCGGAGGGCCTATGCATCAGGCTCAATCTTGCAAATGAATCCTCGTGTGCCTCAGACAGACGCCGTGTCGCACATGAGCCATAATCAAAACCTTAAGTGCAACGGCCCGTCTCGTTCTTTACATAATATCGGGTAGACTCCTTGAGCACCGGTTTGATTGTGACTCAAATCAGCCCCGCTCCTTTGCACAGTCCAAAGTGCTCGATTGCTGTGGTAGGGCGCTTGACCCCATGCAATCCAAAAAAAACGACGTTGGAAGTTATACGATGCCCGTTTTAGTTGACCCTGAGCTGTGCTAAGGGGGATGTTGGCCAAAGACTTATTGACTGGCGCGCGTGTAAACTGTCACAGGTCGCTTGCAAATTCCTGGGCAGGCCGATTCCAGCAAAAGGAGGAGCTCCTAAGACATATCAAGTCTGGAATCGGCGAGCCTGGAACCTGCATTCCTTTCACAGGGTGTTTTGGACATGAGTCCCATGTTGGTGGCAACAAACCACTTTTTGGGCCTGAGCCCAACACGCCATGGAAGCCGGCCCATGGGCTGTCAGAGATTTTTGGAAAGCGCCAGAGTTTCGGAGTCGCCGAGTCGGCATCGCACGGCCTGGACACCTGCGACCGCTCGCAAACCGCAGAAACCGCCAAGTGGCCGACATAGGCAGCGAGCTTGGGCCCCTTGACCCTGAGTGCACTTACTGATGGAAATACTGCCACTGATGGAAATTCTGCCTGAGTTCCAGCTTGTTCGTTTTTCCAGCTGCCACATTGCGGAACCTTATTGACCACTTGCGAAGAGGTCAGCAAGGTCTGTGACCTGTCAGCCACTGAGTGGCTTAGGGCAATCCAGACCAGTTGCAGTGCTGCCAGAGGTTGACATCAACATCAATCTGGCAGTCCCAGTCGGGGCTGGGATGTGTGCATCAGGGATGGCATTTTGAAAATGTGGGTCCGAGCTCTCGTGGTACCTAGGACAAGAAGGGTGTCCCCAGCCCAGCCCTTGACTCCGTTTTTGCATCCTTTGCCATGGGGCCTCAGGGCGGAGCACTTGGAGCGGGGAAAAGCCGACAGAGTGACATGCGCATGGGATGTGCAGCTGCCTCTTTAGCTCATGGGCAAAGGCTTTATGGGAACGACTGTAAGATCTTGTTGTGTCAACATGGGTCGAAAGTGAGAGGAAACCACAGCACTTGGACACGCTACTGGGTGTCACTTGAACAAAACTCCCGGCGCTTCCCTGGCCTCACTTGCTCGCAGGTGGACCCCTTGGCGGCCTTGGCGGCCGGAATCCTGGCTGGGATTCCACCGGCATTTGGCGACCTTGGGGGCGCAGGGCACCAGGGCATTGGGCATGGGCATCGAAGCTGGGTTGCAACATGTTAATGAGCATCGTTGTCATAGTGCCACAAGAATCTAGACAAGCCTCGGTCAAGCAGTTTCGTGCCTGTGCTTTGATTGCAGTCCATGCCTTTCATAAGAAATGCAAAACTAATATGCTGCTGCTAGAACATCGCCAGCCCGGCTGACCAAACAAAGGATGACAAACCGGTGCAATCGCTGCGAGCATAATTGTCGTGTTGTGGCTGAACCAACCTGTGCTGCTCGCGCCATTGATGGCATGTATGCAACATGTTTTGCCGCAATTATTGAGAAAGATTGGCAGGGGTCAGGAAGCATGACAGCAACCACCGATGACCTGGAATGATAAAATGTTGGTTTCAAGCAAAAAAGCGCCCATTGATGATTTGCATGGTGGCCTAGTGGCATTTAGTTACCTAGCGGATTTGCAGCCTGAAATGCGCTTGCGGAAGGAACTTTAATATCCTTGAGCAGGGCAGGCGAGAGTGAATGGGTTCCAAGTGGCTTTGCCATGCGTGCGCTTGGCAAAGAACAGACTGTTAATAGTTGACCTGGTCATGTCACGCATGAAGCAACTGCCAGTGCATTATTGAGCTGCGTAGCTTTAGCTTGGCCAACATGCGCACGTCAGACTCCAAAACCCAGACTCCGTGCTTAGCCAAGGCTGAGGAGGAAGCCCGTGCAGCCGCGATGCTGGCAAAGCCGTGTGCCAAGCTGTGGGCCAGCGCGTCCTTAGCTCCATCGGATCTCTGGATGCGGTGTTTTTCTTTGCGTGCTGCTTGCTTGGCTTGCGCAGGTGGCGGTGAAACCCCTTTTGCATGTATTAAAGTAAGGTAGAATGAAAGTACTTAGCTTGCGTTTCCTGGGGCCGGTTTGCTGCTTGGAGCCTCAGGCTGGCGCCTCCCATGCCGAACGGGCTGCCAATGAGGCATGCGGTTTGGCAGCTTTGGCTCTTGCAGTGGTCATGTTGCACAGCCGTTGCGCCAGTCCGCTGCCGCCCTATGCCTGGGCCCCGGATTATACTGTGGATGGACGAAATCCTGCACCACCTAAGACACCATGGGAAACCATTGTTTGTTGGTATTTACATTGGAATCATCATGCCAGGGTTTCTGAGGTGGTGCAGGATTTCGTCCATCCACTGTACTTTCCGCGAGTTTCCGAGCGCGTGGCGCCCGGCAGCTCTTTGGTGCTCAGGGTCCATCGGACAAACACACTTTGCTGCCTGTATGCCAATCCCGCGCCATGGCCGGCCTGAAGACCATAATCTTTGTCCGGCATGGAGAGTCTGAGTACAACAAGGCATGCCTTAGAGCGCCAGGCTCAACGGCTAGCAACTCAGCAAGCGCAGCGACAACAAACGTGTTGGTGGTGACTGACGTTTGCGTTACGCAGTTAAGTCATATCTCCCGGTTCCTTTGCACTTGATTTGGTGTGCTCCTTTACTTACTCGCTTTTCAGGCGAATTGGTGCAGTTGGGCTGGCAAGCTGATGCCTAAAACCGGTGCCGCATCTTCAAGCATAGTAAGTCTGCACAGGAGGCTGCAAGCATGAACGCTGCGCGACTCACTTCCCCAGGTTCTGGACTTCTGTTTTTGTTTGTTGTTGCGCTTGTTGTTTTTTTGGGAGGGCCGTTCGAGTGGCAAACCACAAGTCCGAGCTCTGGCCAATCCACGCGGTTTCGCTAGGCCATGCGCGACACCGGGAAGGATCCCTTCCTCCGCGACGCGGGGCTCACGGCGCGGGGCAAGGCGCAGGCGGAGGAGGCGTCCAAGAGCCTCGCTGGGCTGCGCCAGGAGAGGGATGCGAGAGGCAGACAATCAGAACCTGGTTAGATGAAGGTTAGTAAGGGGCAGTCCCAGCCAGAAATCGTTGCGGCCGCCTTCTCAATTCTTTACATACCATTTTAATACCCGGTTTTGATTGTGACTCAGGTGAGGTTGGGTAACTCTCCACATGGCTATGGGTCAAATTGAACCAAACAGACAAAAACTAGTCCTTGGTTCCATTCACCAGGGTATGTTGGGTACCTATTTTCATGGCCCACACCCAAATTGGCCGCTTTTGGATAGGGTTTGATTGTGACTCTGACGATATCTTGCCAGTTGTGGCGATGCCGTTTGGACGAAGGCACTCACTGGGGTTGTTTGGAGGAAAAGAAACTCACGTGCCATTGGGTTGCTGAGATTGTTTGGAGATTTTGTTGGAGGAGCCCTTTTCTCCGCGGAATGGTTGACTTCATGAGTCATAGTTGCCGTGAGCTGAGGTTCCCATTACTTTGTGCCACTGCACTGGTTGCAGACTGCCGGGGCATGCTGAGAGACGGAAGGTGTTCATGCCATCAAATTTGTCGATGTCACTGTCCGCTTGGTGCTCCATGCTTTCAGCGCTGACTACCTGTGTGTGCATCGCATGCGTGCGAAGAGCTTACGATTGCATGGCCGCTCTGGAGCACCGAAGTTGCTGTAGGAGATTGCTTGTTTGCTTGCCTTTTGCCAGGGAGAGCCCTTTTCCTCAGGTAAGCCCTAATTGGTGGTTTGGGATTTGTCTAAGGGTTGATTCCCCATTCTTGTTGAACCATTCTTTTTTTTCAACAACCGGCCGTTTTGCCTGGGTTGTTGAGGGTTTCCTGAAAACAAGGATCCCTGGAAAGAATGGGGAAGCTTCCCCCTCGGACGGGTCCTTGTAGAGGGCGGGAAGCCCCTCCTTAACCACCAAACCACCAAGGCACCAGAACCACCAACTCACCAACTAAGAGCAAGCTGATCTCCCGTCACCAGCATGAAATCCAGGAATTGGGCGATGGCCACGACTGGCTGCTGCTCAGCTCTCCTTTGCAGAGAGCGCTGGACACGGCCGCAGGCTGTCCAGAGGAAACACGAAGCGAACAAGGGCAAGGGTTTGCCCATGTGGGACGTTTTGGGACAGGAACCAGGGATCTCTCAACTAAGACTAGGACCAAACTGGGACTGGACGATTTAACTTTCTTATAATGATTGAATGTCAAGTGGCATGTCCAACAGTTTCCTGAAAGATTCCCAAGTGTTTCAGTAGACTAGAACTAATCTAGGACTAGAACCAAGGATCCCTCAACTAGGACTAGGACCAAATCCGGAATGAAACGCTATTTGCTGATTAGAACCAGCTGCCTGAATGAAATCAAATGAAAACGAAAGAACATTCATTCGCGGCCGGATTCAAGATTCAAGATTCCCTTGAGAAGTTTTTGAATCTGGACGCCACCTCGAATGAAAACGAGTAAAAGTTCATTTGCCCGGATTCAAGATTCAAGATTCCCTGGAAAAGTTTTAAGGCAATCTTGAATCTGTACCCACCCCCCGAATAAAAACAAATGAAATTGCTTCGGCGCCGGATTCAAGATTCAAGATTCCAAGGAATACATCTCAAAATAATATTGAATCTTGAATTCGGGCGAATGAACCGTCACTTGGTTTCATTTGGGAGTATTTTCAGGTTGTCATTGGACATGTGCCTTTTCTTTGTGCTTTGTGCCTTCCCCAAAGCCACAAACGGGTACAACACACTGCAAACACCATTGGTTCTGAAAATAGGTAAGTCCCTGTGGGTACCATCATATACACATAATTATAATACATATTAATTTACACATATTAATTTACACATATATATATATATACATATAGACTTGGATATGTAAAATGAGGGAAGTAAATATATGCTGGCGCCCAACCACCCCGACTCATCAACGTGCATCGTTGTGAAGCCCAAGCTGTTGTGCAGCAGTTGCATCCCGTTTGCCGGGCGGGCAGCTAGGAACACGCACTGGCAAAGCATCAATGGGCTTTGATTCGGCTTTCCCTCCATCATTCCCCAAAAGGACATTCACGCGGTGACACATCCGCTTGGAACCCACATGCAGCCCTCCGCTTGCTTGTTTCCTGCGCGAGCACGTTTCAATCACGGCATGCTTGCGGAAAAGGGTCAGTGACGTCCGTGCTTCCACTTGCATTTGGCCATGATGTGTTGTAGGTTCCATTTGTCGCTGGGAAAGATGCGGCTGCCGAATCTCTTGCGACGTCATCTCGCTTCTGGCTAGGCATTTGGCCCGATGCCTTCTACCACAAGGCAGCGCGCCTGGAAGTCTGGCCTGAGCTTCGAGAGGTGGCATCCTGGCAGCCGAACCAATTCTTGCGAAATGGATATGGGTCAAATTTAAAGCACCTTTAGTCCATGTTTCCATTTACCAGGGTCTTCCTTTTCGGAGGGTGGCCGAGGGTAGCAGAAAATATTGATGCAGTCAAGCCTCACCGGCGCAGCTGGCAGTTGGGCTGCAATAGGCCGTGAAGACGTTGTATTCGTTGTTCTCGGCAATTGTTTACGCAATCGCGCGCTTGGTCAAAACATCGTTCTATTCCCTCAGTTGTCGGATCAGAGGAAGCATTGTTCCGTTCCGCGTGCATCGTTCTGTATCACCCGCACCGTTCTGTTCCACACTCATCGTCCTGTTCCATAGCATCGATATATTCCATGTCCGAAATTCGGTGTCCCCTCCAGGGGTCCGTTTTCCCCCAGCTTGTGTAACCTGGAAAGGTTGAATTTGAGTGTGTGTCTGTGTGTGTGTGTGTGCGTAGTCGGTTTGGACAGGGTTCCAAAGTATAATGCTCGTTCGATTTGGCTTCCTTCCAGGGAGGGTGCTGGCGGGCGGCGTGGGCGGCTTGTTGGTATTCGTGAGGCCCGCGGGCCCGATTTGGCAAGAATATGTCATGTTGCATCCATGTTGGGGAATAGTTGAAATAGCTAATCAAAATGGGTAAGGTCACCTCAGAATGGTGTTGGCTTTGCGTCATTTTGGACGCGATCCACTTGCCAACCTTCACTTCATTCCACTCAATCTCAGAGAGAGGCTCAGCAATCTACAGCACGGAATCGCCAATCATCTCGTCAGTGCTGAATGCTCGATTTGTTTTAAGTCCACAGTCGCTGACTTACTTTGGATGGTTTCTTTATGGAATCAGACGTTCAGCCGGCTGAAGCCGTGGATTGTGGCTTGGAGAGGTCACTGGTTGCGACGACTTGGGCTCCACACCGCAGCAGCTGCTTTGGAAGTACCCCCACCTCGCTGAGAAGCTGAGGCTGCTGCCAGAGGCCTGGGAAGCAGGGAGGCCTCAAAGTCAAGCAAGTCAAGTCAGTAGCAAGCCGGGGTTGCGCGAACAGGATCCCCACCCCCTCAAAAGTGGAATTGGGGCCCTTAAGGTAGGAGTTGTGCGAAAAGGTAGCCTTCAGAAAGACAAGCTTTGCCTGCCGTGGGAGCATGTTGCTCACTGATCATGATGCATTCTTGCTGTGACTGCGATCAACAGTCTTGTATGACCCGCCCTGCTTAACCCGGGGCAAACCACAGGGAAAAAGGTGCCGGTTCGGGAATTACCTGCGTAGCATCTAGACCAGTGTGACGTTGTCATGCAGCTCGAGTGCACTTTGGAATTGCATACGCGTGCTTGGGAGGTGTGGTGGACGCTGCCTAAATCATTCCAGGAAATATCCCCAGATGGTGACCTGGCCGCAGCTGCCAAAGTCCATCAAGCAGTTCTTCAAGCTGTTGGCAGGCAAAGTCAGTGTTGCGGCTTCAGCTGACTTCCAAAAGCAAAACATAGCTGAAGTGCTTGCTGGTCCACTTTGCTCGCCCAGCCTTTGAATGGATCAGCACCTCCAAGATCAAGAGGTTCTCTATAGAAGCTTGGTCCAAGCAAGGGGTTCCTTTGATATTGGCACGGTGGTCCGTGGAAAATTTCAGAAAAATGGCCCAGGCGATGCCTTGCGCGACGCCTACCGCAGTGACCCTGATGCTTTCGAGGATGCAGACGAAGCGATCTTCGAGGAGATGGGCTTCACGCCACTCACTTGATACCATACAATACCATACAGGGGTGCGCTAAGGTCTCAGGGGCCCCTGGCAAGAAGGCCTTGGTAAGCCTTTGAGTCATACTTCCCGGGGGGCCCTGGTGTGGTTTCACAAGTTCAAAATGGTGCAAAGAGATGGTGCAAGGTTTGGTTTTTGCGGAATCCGGACATTCCCGGAGGAGCGCCTGGAGCAACTGGTGGAGAAGCTGGCCGCAGTGCCAGAGAGGAAAGTGGCAAGACTCTCAGAGCTCGGGAGGCGCTCCCATGTCAAGTAACAGGTGTCTTTGGCCCTTGGGGGGGGGGGAAGAGACCAAGGCAATCCAAGGCATACTTTGAAGGGCGCAATTTGTTGCGCTTTGTGTGGCCCTGGAGGGTAGGTGGCTTCTGACCAAGCTCCCAAGTTCGACACCCGCGGCTTCAGATGGGGGCCTTGTGAAGCGAGTGAGGTGGTGGTTGCCCACTGTGACCTCATCGGCAACCTCACCCAAAAGCTGGGGCTGAAGGAGCCCAAAGGCTCACGGAAGGGGTGGTGGCTCCGACACTCAGAAGCCCGGGGGGGGGGGGGCGGTGGAGAGGGGTGTTGAAGTGGAGTTTGTGGGCACATGTTCGCCAGCATATGGTAAGCTCAGGAAACTGCGAATGCAGGATGCTGCGGGATTTCCAGTTTGCGTGAGGTGAGACGCGTGCAAAGCTCGGGTTTAGAGGGCTCCAGAGCGCGAGAGGCTGCCAACATTTGGCAGTCGTCATGCCTCATGCATGGCATCTCTGGCTTCTTTGCGGAAGGCTAGGTGCCTCGCTGATTGTACAGTGCATGTCGCGCGCCAACTGGCAGGAAAACCATATGAGGTTGCTGTTTGCATCCATGTTCAAGAATACATGAGGGGCTTGGAGCTTCTGAGCAGGTCCAAGAAGGGACCTTGGGCACAGCCGACTAAGGCAACCATGTCAATGTGTGCTTGCTCCCTGCTTTCTTGACGCAAAGTTGCATTGGTTGTAGGGTTGTTTCCCTGGGCATTGCAGGCATTATCTTCGCCATGCCCTGCTTTTGGCATGGAAGGCGGCGCAGGCCGACCAGACAACCAGATCCCACTGTCCGACAATCTCGCGCAAGCTATAATAGGTGGTACAAGTGCAGGTTCGCCAAATGAAGGATGCAGTGTGGAAGGCCACCAATTCAATCCGCATTTCAGCGGAACAGGGCGAATTGGCAAACAAATCTGGCAATTTCCACCCTCAGCCCTTTGCTTGCTGAGGCGGGCCGTTCTCAGATGCCTGCAGCGCAACCAGAGGCAAAAGCGGGGGCCTTGGTGTGACGCGTCCACTTGACGCAGCTATGATTGCACCATTTGCCACCAGAGAATGCCTCGAGGGATCGTGAAGGATATGTGGCACACGCGTGTGCGCCACACGACGCCACGCATGGCACGGCACAGCACAGCACGGCCGAAGCTCGGGCTTTGAATTTGCAAGCATGGCCTTTTTGCCAACACGAAGCCGCAGACGTGGAATAGAATTCAAATGGCCGCTGCCTGGCAGCCGCACCTGCCGCAGGGCAGGTTTAGCGGCACGACTTACCTCCCCATTTTCTGGACTTTTCAATAATTCTTACACTAAGGATAGTCCCAGCCCTTGAGGCACAGTTGCGGCCGAGCAAGAGAAGTGAACAAGCCAATGACAAGACGGCAATGCCAGACTGGGCTTACAAAAGCTAGCGAGAGAGAGAGAGAGGAAGAAAAAAACGGTATTGAAGGGGCAAGCCGAACAGGACAAGCATTTCCACCACCGATACCATTCAGTCGTGATTAATTCCTGAGCCAGCTGGATAAAATCATTGCAAGCCACGAGTGCACTTGGAGCGGCCATCACGGGAAATGTTGGCGGACATATCCTTGGAGCACTCAGCCCGTCAGCATTTGCAGCTTGGTTCCGGATTTTCGATGTCATGCATTGTTAGCCGTTAGTTGCTCACCTGGACCCGCCCAGCTTTTGTCCCGATATGTTTATTGCCAGGGCCGGGTAACAAGTGGCGAGCCGTTGTCCTATTTGCGAATGGAAAGCAGACTGTGTTTAATCCCGCAAGTCAGCAGGCATGCCCACCATGCACATTTCAAGAACTGGAAGCAGCCCTTTCTATCCTTAGATGTTGCACGCACATCCTCCACCCGTGCAGCCGTCGCTCATCGAACAATCCATTGTGGTCCTTTGCCCCATTTCAAGATTACGATGCTGTTCTCTCGCCTGGGCGTGGTTTCCGCCCTCATAACGCACAGCTTGGCTTGCTGTGCGAACGCCGCGCGGGCTGCATTCAGGACTTGCGGCACCGCAACTGGTCCATCGCTGGGCTTCCTTAGAAGGGGCAGGTTTACAACGTAATCAAGGAACTCAACCGTCCCTAAACCTTAAACTCATCCTAAAACCAGCCCTAAACCACCCTAAACCAACCCAAAACCAGCCTGAAGCCCAACCAACCCAGCAAACCCTAAGCAAACCCAAAACCACCCGAAACCAACCCTGAACCAGCCCCAGCCCACCCTAAGCCCACCCTACAACAGCACTAAACCATTGGCTTCGCAAGCTTCAGCAATATCAATCTGCCGAATCATCATCCTTAACATGTTAGGACCTTTGGCGGCGGCGTGGACATTTGAACCAATGCAATGAGAAACCAATGGGAGGGCTTCGAGTTTGCATGCTGCAGGGTCAACAATTGCAGTTTTTTTCTTCAGAGACTTTCGCGTTCAGCTGCCAGGATCCCCTGCTTTTCCTTTGCTCAAAAAATGTTTGGACGCCATTAGCTGAAGCACTGCGCCATTTCTGGGGCAAACTTTGCAAGGCCCGTAGGCTCCCCTTTCTAAGCTGACATGATAAGGCACATATTTTTGAACCATCGTAAGGTGTCAAACAGAACATGGAGTCCCACGCGCAGCGCTGAGGATGATGCTGGATTGCTACAGGTCAAGACGGAGAATCGTCCACCAGAAGCTGCTGCCCCATCTCGTGCCAGGCAAGTTGGCATACATTTGTGTAGTGTGCACGGCTTGTCGGGGCATTGCTACAGGCTTTAGGTGTTGTTCTTGCGGATTGCTATCGGCTGAGCATGCACTCCAGGTCCGGGTTCATCGACATGGGTGTAGCAGGACCCTTCCCAGGCACCTCCGAGTTGCACCAGCTAGCCTTGAGCGCAGCCGCGGATTTCGAGGAGTTGATAAGGAGGCGTCAGAAGGTCCAGCAAGCAGATTTGAAGGCACGCAGGTCCGAAGATCCTTGGGCGCTGGGAAGAGCAGAATACCATCCTGGAGCTTGGTGGGTCCGTTCAAGTTGGGCATATGAACCACGTGTGCTGGAGCTGGCCAGTCATCCGGAGATCCTGTCAGTAGTGACAGACCTCTTGGGACCGAATGTCATGTTCTACGGCGCGGAAGTTCTTTCACGACATGCTGGGGATGTACACTGGTGGCATTCTGATTCTGAATCAGCAGGGTGCAACCAGACTGCCACGGTCTATTTGGCGCTCGGTGGCTTCACCAACGACAATGGCTTGCAGGCAGCCAGTGCCAAACAGCTATTTGGAGCTTTTGGGCTTGTTTGTGCGTATGAATGCTAAAGCATGGCAACATGGCACAGCTTTCTTGTAAGTTTTGCACCCGCGAGGTGGTGACACATTCGCATCAGATGGGTACTGGCTTGCTGACGAAGGGCTTGCGGCCTTTCATGACAAAAGACACAGAGCATGACTTTGGTGCGCGCAATTTCTCCATCATGGGCATTGAGCTTGCCAGCGAAGTCAGCAAGGAGTTGAAAGTGAGCGCTGAAGCGAAATGCTTGCACATGGCAGACCAGGATTTTGTTTTGTTTCATGGCCGGGCTTGGCATGGGACGGTCTTCCCAAAGAATGAGTCCGGAGAGAGGCGGGTATTTCTCCTGCAATACGCCACTCCAAGTTGCCAAATACGAGCTCCACATGCTGCAGACAGAGCCGAGAACAGCCCCGTAATGCCAATTACCATGATGGTAAGTGGCACGGCGCAAGGCTGGGGGGGGGTCTGCTGCTTGAGCTTCGTGGTTCTTTGTATTCAACATTCTGTAACATGCTTGAGTTTCCTGATCTGGCGCCCCTGGCCCATTCTCAGGCGATGAAGCCTACACGAACAACTTTGTGAGTGTCAGGGATGCCGCCGATGGTCCTGTGAGTGAGTGGTCGGACATGAACTTGCTCTCTGGGGCCGGGGGAGGACAGCATGAGACTAGCCTTTGGCACGTCGAGAAGAGCAAGTTCAGCCCAGGGCTCAGCAGCTTCCCGAAATGCATTTGTCTTAACAAATGTCACCAGGCATCCCACTAAAAAATGCAATTGCACTGCGCTGTTTCAGGCATAATGCCATATAACAACGAGATCACATACTACGAGGACTACAAGAGTGACACACCAGTTGCCGGCTACCTCTTTGACTGGCGACACCGAGCTGGCGTGCCCGCTGCAAACGATGAACCTGCCAGCTTTCTGAGCTATATGAGGCAGCCGCGGCTGTTCCCCTTTCGAAAAGGGCGCAAGCTTTGGGAGGTGATGTTGGGCCAAACTTGCAACGGGCACGTGATGATTCACTATGACGAGGGCGAGAAAAACAGCCTTCCGCACAAGATGCACTCTCATGAGAACTCGGAGTTGGTGTATGTGGTGCACGGAGGTCTTCAAATCATCAAAGCCCATGATAACCACTCGCTGCCGCAGATGCTCCAGCTGGAGCCAGGATGTCCGGGCAGTGGGTGACAGAACTGTCAGACAGAGGGCTCGCAGCTTGTTCGCGAGGGCGTGAGCCCCCGTAGCTGCATCCAGTGATCCCATGCGCCGCGTTTCCAGCAAAACCAAGCACTAATAAAGATAACATTGAGGTCCCGGAGTCTTCACCCCGCCGCAACGCTGTTCCCGCCAATCTGGTGGGTCTGCGTGCACACACACACACACACATATATATATATATATATATATGTCTGTGTGTGTGTGTGTCTGTGTGTCTGTGTGTCTGTGCGTCTGTGTGTCTGTGTGTCTGTGTGTCTGTGTGTCTGTGTGTCTGTGTGTCTGTCTGTGTGTCTGTCTGTGTGTCTGTCTGTGTGTCTGTCTGCGTGTCTGTGTGTCTGTGTCTGTGTCTGTGTGTCTGTGTCTGTGTGTGTGTGTGTGTCTGTGTGTGTGTGTCTGTGTGTGTGTGTTTGTGTTTGTGTTTCTGTTTGCGTTTCTGTTTGTAATTGTGTTTGTGTGTGTGTGTTTGTGTTTGTGTGTTTGTGTGTGTGCACATGTGCGTGGTTCGTTTGTGCGCGCACGCAGGTGCAGGAGGGTGTGGGTAAAGGTTCGGGCTGCGTTTTTTGTAAACGCTTCGCGTTGCCCGCCTCGGCGAGTGTGCTTTTGGCTGGCTTTGAGGTTTGCCTTGAAGTGTTGTGTTTGTTTGAGGGTGGGCTGGTTCCCAAGATGGTGGGTGCATGTTCGCGCGTTTCAGGGGCTAGAGGCGAAGTCTGAGAGCTAGAGAAGGGCAGTGGACGGGATGCCGAGCCATAGAATTGGGCTGGAACAATTTGGTTATGTCAGTTTGCCCAGTTTCGAGGATTGGACCGGTTTCTAGGGGGGATGTGACCCGAAAACTTCACCTGGTCTCTGGGCAATGGGGTCTGACCGCCTCCCGGCCCAGGCCGAGGCATTTTAAATACAATTCTACCACGCTGGGGGTTTTGGCGCTTAAGACTTGCAAAGGTGTTTTTCGACCTGGTGTTTTCGAAGGGGCAGGACTGGTTTCTGAGTTTATTTTGCAGAAGGTATTTTGGGCCTGGAATTCAGGAGACATCCACTTCAGCCGGATGAATGGAGATGAGGGCCACACACAACGTTGCAGCAGGAGCCGAGGTGCTGAGCTCAAGGCTTCCCCCCTCACCACCACGCCGCTTGCCGTTGAGATTCTGAAATTTTGGGCTCAAGCCAAGTTTCAAACGGCCCAAAGTGGGGTGATTTTTAGCGCTTTCCGTGGGCCCCGGGCGTGCGGTAGCTTCTCAAGACGATTTCTTCTCCCAAGTATAGAGAACGTCCTTCCGGAAAAATGGTTTGAGAGATTGCGCAGAAACGTGTCATAGGGAAGGCTACTGTCATTAGAGGGATTGTGTGGAGACATTGCAGTGGAATGTCTTGGAGAACCTGCGCAAAGAGATTGCGCAGAGGAATGTAGATTTGGCGCTCCGGGACTGACCCCGGCCTGCAAAACACCCTCTTCGCGGGTCACGTTTGTGCGCGCATGTCGGCGTGGAAAACCCTGAAGGAAAAAGAGTCATGTTTTCTGCGGCCCGCGGCCCTGCGCACATTTTGCGGAGTTCGACGTGGGAAGTTGCGTGTTTCTGCGTTGCGCTTGCCGGCGCTCGAAGCGCAGACAGCCCCCGCTGACAGGGAAAACCGCCAACACGCGAAAAACCGGCTTTCCATGTTGCAAGAAGCGACATTGCAAACTATACCCGGCCGGCATTCCTTGGCATGAGCAAGCTTCGAGTGGATAACTTTCCAGTAAGGCATTGTTTCCCAAAGTGGCCTGTATGCACTTGTTGCTTCTTGTTTCGTACGACGGTTGCGTCGATTGCAGTATGCATACTTTCCAGCACACACACACAAGCAAGTCACAAGTGATAGCAAAATTCAATTGTTCACATGGTGGTGGCCTTCAATAACCTTCCGGTCAGCTTCATTGATTTCCCACCTTTCTTATCCAGCCCTGGCTGGGCTTGGCAAGCTAATCGAGAATAGCGCTGCTCTATCGTCGCTTTTTTGGTAGAGTCCCCAAAAAGAATCACCCCAGCCGAGCGCGGCTGAAAGTTCACATTGTGACGCGAACGGCTAAGGTGGAGCGAGCCGGGCGGGATTGCGAAGCAGCTCAATGGGAGCCAGGACGACGCAGTTCCTCAGCGCGAAGTCCAGATGTGACGTGAGTTCTGCAAGTTTTCGGCCGTTCAAAGCGCAAGGTTATGCCGGGAGATTTTCCAGCTGATGGAAGTTGTGGCTTCTATTCCATCAGTTGCCTGGCAGTTGGGGCAGGGAGGAAGGGAGGTTCAAGCCAGCCGCCGTGTGACAGTATGTCGGAAGCTAAAGTTGTGACCGCCAGGCCCGGCTTCTGACACAAAAATCGCCTTTGGGTTTGACATTTGCCGAAGCTCAGGCTGGTTCATGCACAAGAATAAGTCGAGGGAAGAGCTGCGCCAGTGCTACTCGGAGCACACCCCGGAGGATTTTCAAAAATGCATTGGACTTCGGCGGGGTGAGCAGTGTAAGCCTTACACGGACTACAAGCAGTCGCTCCTCCACTTGCGCTTGGACCAGAAGCAGTACAGGAACGCGGGCGCTTCTTTCAAAACGCATTTCTGCAGCTCGGCGAAACCTATGTCCTGCCGAGTGTTGCTGAAGCAGCCGAATTCAACCGGGGGGGGGGGGGGCGCTGTTCCTTGTCGTTTGCCTTTGTCTCTTCAAACAACCCATCCACCCGCAATCATCACGGCCTAAAGCTTCGTTTTGATAGCAAGGACCGTCCCAATCGCGATCACGCAAAACCCTCGCCTTGATTGCTGCTACTTGCAGGATATTTACAACATAATCATTTTGCGCTCACCAGGCATTCGCCATTTATACATTTTGACCTTCTCGTTTGCTTCCCTTCATGGAAGCAGTGCTGTTTTTGTTTTTCAGCGGTGGGACAAGTTCCAACTCTCCGCCCAGATGGGATCATTGAGTAAGATTGTCCCGTCCCGCTCTACACCCAAACCAGGGGCCCGTCGCCCGCTGTCCTTTGTCCACAATTTTAGGGCTTGACAAGGACGTGCTTCAGAGATCTTCAGGGCTGCCCCAGCAGTCAATTGCATGGTTGACGTAAAAAAATGGATGCCCAACGTTGCTTCGTGGCTCATTAAACAGCTGGCAAGATCACGAGGCGGCCGCACGTGCAGTCCTAAACATGGACCAAGTGGCATGGAGCTTCACACCGCCATTTTTGACAAGGGCGAGGTGCTGGAGTCTCATCGGGACACACACGAAGTGATTCTGATTGTGCCAATGCCTCAGTTGATCGCGCTGGCCAGTTTGTATTTGAGTGCTGGTATCTTTCCTCACAGCTGCTTCCCGTTTTCTTTGTGTGGGTCGCGCACGCGTGCAACGCAAGCCGCTGCTCTGGGCGGGTGGCGGGTGGTATCAGAGAGTACCCAGCCAGGCAATCCGGTGCACTTCAGCTTGACGGGCCTGGATTTGTTGACACGTATCTTGGCGGGAAGGTTTTGGGAAACATGCGTTCTGGGGATGCTTGCTGATTTTGCCTCGGACTACGAAGCTGAAGCTTTCCAACGCCAACGTTGCAAACAGCGCTGTGCCTGAAGAATAGGGCATGTCCCAAGCTGACTCATCCCTGGCTCCGGCTGCAGGGGACAAACCCCATGCGTGAAATAAAATGGGCAGTTCATCGCAGTTCGTGCCCCGCACAAAGCGCAAATGGGTCACAAAATTTGGCCTTTTTTAGCGGCCCATCCCGTGACTTATTGCGGAAAAAAAAAGGATACCGTGGTAGCCATGAAGACAAATCAGGCCTGCAGTTGTTGTCGCAAACTAAGATTCCGGAGTCAGACATGCGCAGGGCCCGAAGCGATAACCAAACCGATAGCCAACTCATTGGCCGCCATGCCAAATCCAACCAAGTCCCCCTGAGGCTGCCAAAGTGTACTTTACGTATTGCATTTTGAGCTATAGAGCTTCCAAGATGCACTTGTGCGCTAGGTTACCGAACCGTTGCGATTTCCCAGCTAAAGCTTCCAGAGTGCACTTGGTGCGCAATGGCACTGAAAAGTTGCAGCTTTCGATGTGGCTTAGTGCGGTGCCTTTGTACCTAAAAGTTGTGACTTCATCCGGAGATGCAGAAGTGTACTTCTTGTGCTACACTTGTACTGGCATGTTGCGATTGCCGAGCGGAAGTGGTGCATGAGCTGCCGCTGTGTACTTTGTGGGCCGGGCTCGCCTTTCCAGCTTGAGCTGCAGAAGTGCCAACAGACTGCAAACCGATACACCTGAACAGAAACGATACTAAGCGATACCAACGCATAAGGTTGCAAAGGTTGTCCACCGTCTTTTTGTTGCCCCCCAAACCGCGAGGCAGGGGAAGCCCCTCGTCGCGCGCGCAAACGACATTGTGTTCAAGCCCGCTGGCTGGAAGTTGGGCTTCACATCCCTTGAGAAGTCCCAGCACATTGCGATTGAGCTTCATCACGGGGCCTGGGCGCCATAGCGGCGCTGCACGGACCCATGTGCTTTCAGAAGTTGCTGGTTGACGCGAGCTACACCTCTAGCCTGGCACACGAACTTCGTCAGTGTTCTGTGTGGAGTGTATGATTCGCTGCCTTCTGTGGAAAAAGTCAGATTGCAAATGGCCGGCAATTCTGAAAAGGAATGATGAAGGATACCTCGCCATGCCTTGCTTGGTTTTAAATAGGGCCGGTGAAGGCGGCGCAGGCCGACCACAAGCGTCAGCTTTGTGCAAATTGAGATTTTTTGGTCGAAGGGCAGGCGTCGGCGACAAGTGCAGGTTCGCAAAATGAAGGCTGCAATGTGGAAGGCCACCAAATTCAGGCCGCATTCAGCGTTGGCCAACCATCAATTCTTTGCTTGCTGAGGCGGGCCATTCTCAGATGCCTGCAGCACAACCAGAGGCAAAAGCAGGGGCCTTGGCCTGACGCGTCCGCTTGATGCAGCTGTGATTGCACCAGTGTTGGAAGAGGGTGGGCCAGGGACCGTGTATCATATTTTTCATGACACCACAGAACTTGAACCGTGGCAGCAGTGCGTTGGCCTTCCTTAGTGGTGGGGGGGCGTAGGCTCGAGAAGGCATTTCGCGTGCATCATTGTTTTTCCCTGCACACGGGCGCGTAATCAAGCCTGGGATGACAGCTACGTGGTAGCCAGTAAGCTCCTATCGCTCAGAAGCCTGGATTTTTCCAAGCAGAATGGCTCCATTTGTGTAGGCTCTGCGTAGGCTCCGGGTAGGCTGAGCTACTGCCACTGCTCTTGTTGCGTTTCCCGTTTCAGTCTGCAGCTGCCAAAGGGTGCACCTCGAGTACTTCACTTGTACTGAAGAAGGTGCAATTTTGGAGCTGGAGCTGTCAAACTGCATGTTGCGTATCACAGTTAAACAACTCACAAGCCGCAAGCGGGCAATGAATGACTCGGCAGGGTTGCAAAGCTCGAGGCAGCAAAGCAGCGGGCAAGCGGCTTGCGTAGGCATCCGCGTAGGCAAGGAAGACGCGCACGCGCGTAGGCCCCTTGCAGTCGCGGAGGCTTTGCATAGACGCTCACGTAGGCGTGTGTGCAGTGTGTAACCCCCGAGCACACCGAGAAGAAACTGCCCAAATTGCCGCTGCTTTGCAGCAGCACCTATGGCAACCCCAGAGTAAGGCGTCCAGGGAGTCAATGGTTTCAACATCCTCCCAGCCGAGCAGATCGCAGAGGCAGGCTCCATTCTCACGGCAGTTTTCCCTGAAACATAGAGTCTTGTATGGCCAGATCCGAGTTTTCTATTACTTGCGGGATTCAGCTGCACTCGTTGCTGGACCCAGATCTCTAGAAACCTGTGACCTGCCCTGCCGAGTTTGTCTTTTGCTTGGCCGTGCCAGTACCCCTCAGCCTCAGGCCAGCAGAGCTGCAGAGGCCTGTAGCAGAATGCGACTGACCAATGGGATGCTTGTTCGTCAGGGTCCCTTCAGCCATATCCCCTCGATGCCCCAAGTTGTGGATGTGTTCAGTTGGGCTCCGTGTTGTTGGTTTGCTGGCGGTCAGGGCTGCTAAGCATTTGTTGACACGCGTTTGAAAACTGAAATTCACATTCTACCACGTAATCGTGTCCAAAGGGGCACGACCAGGGTGGCATTTCATGCACTCCCGCACCTGCGCGAATTGCGCTTCCAGGCCGGTTGCTCAGCAGCTGAGGCTGGGCTCCCGCGCTGCCGCGCCACGCGTCAACAACCATTGTTTCGAAGCTTACTTGCAGGCGCAACTACTGAATGTGCAAGTTCCCAAGCTGGCAAAGCAAAAAGAGGTAAGAATTCAACAACGCTTGGTACCACCGAAAATTGCAGTATTTTGCTTGAGCTGGAGGAGTGAACTTCTCGCCGCGCATGTCTACGAAAACGTTGCGATGTTTGAGCTGATTGCGATGTTTGAGCTGTCCCACTGCTCGGATGCGAACGCACAGATGGCACGAGAGGGGGGGATGTCAAAGTTGTCGCTGAAAAGTTGCGATTTTTGAACCGGAGGTGCTGAGGCGCACTTCGTGCTCGCTTGCACTGATTGATTGAGTTTTGTGAGCTTGGAGCTGCTAAAGGGCGTGTGCTTTCTTGCGCTAGACTTGTACTTGCCAATTCTGATAGACCTGACAAAACGATAAGAAGGAAAGTCAAACTGCCACAAAGTGCACAGCAAAACCTCACGGTGCTTTATGAGCCCTACTAGTACGTATTACATGTTGAACCAGTTTGGGGGAAGAAGCGCCGTGAAGGTTCCGGACCAAGTTCTGCACTGGTGCTCCGAGCATGTTGGCCTTGAGAGACCTAAAGGCTCAAATTGTTTGGGCGGCTAGGCGTTTAAAGAGGCCTTCCTTGTCTTGTTCGTCGCCTTTGCGTTCGCACTTTGGAAATTCAGCCCCGGGAAAACGAATTGATTTCGAACACGGACAAGGCATTGTGAGGCCACCTAGCCTTCCTCAACCAGGGCTTAGTCAATTGACATGTTCCAAGTCGCTTTTTGCGGGGGAGTAATTACTTCTGCACAATGGATCTTTGCTGAGGCATGCGAGCTAGACACAAAAGAGAGCTTCGGTTTGCAAGTTTGGCCTTTCTTGCAGCTGCAACAACTTTGTTCTTTGGGGGCTTGTTCTTTTTGCGCAACCAGCTAGTTGGTCAGGAAGAGCCGCACATTAGCCAACAACTGCTGTCGTTTGCGGGCCGGCACAGAGAGGGATGGTGTTTACTTATTGAGTTTGAGCCGACCTCAGTTCCAATCACCAGGCCGGATGAGGAGGAAGCGGCCTTTCGAGCAGAAGCAGAGGTGCACCTCACCATAGCACGGGGCGGGCGAGCGTGCTTTTGGCGCAGCTGTGGGTTGTGAGTTGTTGCGAGGCTTTGGTGGAAAGTCTCAATTCGCATGCTGCCGCCAGGCGGCCGTCGAGCGTGCTTTGGAGCGGGATCGCAACAGTGACTGGTGGAAGAAGCTGCAGGACGGAGGCTTAGAAATGGTTGACTTTGGAGATGTTAGCTTTGGCCTCTTTTGCATTTTGGAAGGCTTGGCTCCGAGCCCGCCGCAAGCTCTCTGAGGCCGCTCCGAAGAAGCACGTCCCACAGCGGTGTGACCGCCTGTGGGGTGCCCAATGCGGTATTTGGCGCAGAGGCCTGTTTGCAAGTCTATTGAACTAAGCCAACTAAGCATGACGCACTTGGGCCCAGTCTGTTGAATATCCCCCCATGCGTTATCCCTTGGGATTCTCGCCAACAGCGCAGCAGCAACGAAGCGGGCATTGAGGAGGCAAGTGAGTCAAGTAAATGTTTGTGTTGGAAGCCCAGCACATCGACCGAACTTCAGCAACCGAAGGCCAAGAAGTGGTTTGGCCCCAGGCCTCAAAATCCCACAGCTACTTAGCCGTACCAGAGAGCCGAGGCCCATCCACCGCGAGACCGCCAGCAGGGAGGATGGGCTTGGCCGCCACGCTTTACCCCAGGCATAGCCCTGGCCCAGTCTCCCGCTTTTGCCACGCGCCAGTTTGGAAATAGGCCTGTCGGAAGAAGATTTTGTTGCAGTGCTTCTGTCATTGCTCTTGGCTCCTGCCTACAACCCACTTGAGCTTTGATGTGTTGCTATCCCCTCGCCGAATTCCACACTTTCGGTACCCTTTGCTGAGCCAGCATGCTTCAAGCCTTTGTGTGTTCCTCCACCTGAGACAGACCAGGCGCTCAGTGCCAAGTGCAGGTGTCGGCTTCCCACCCGTGGCTTCAAGGTGCTGGCTGAGGCCAACCTGCACTTGGAGCATGCTTGAAGGTTTTCCGCCGGCCTTGGCCTAGTGCGCAAGGCCTTTCTTCGCATGCTGGCTTGGTTGATCATGGGCCCTGGCAGCTTTGGTTTGCTGCGGCGTGGGAGGCTACCCTTTGTTTTGCATCTGCTGGCACCTCTTGGGGGGCATGCAAGGCGGCGAACGCAGGGCTGGAACTCGGCAAAACACCTCAATCCAAGCTCAAGGAAAAGACGGGGCAATCAGCAACGCAGCGAGCGGCAAGGTGCAGCCAGTGCGCGCGCAGCCGTTGCCCAAGCTCCTGAAAGCCTAGTGCGAGTTTGTCAGGAACAGTGTGGAATGGAACGGTTCATGGCGTGTGATTTGTTTTCCCCACGCAAACTGACCATGACTTGCAGAGTGAGCATGCCAATCATTCCAAGTGCAAAGTGGTAAGTCACTTCGCTCCACTCCGAGCGCAGCACCTTTTTCGGCTGGCTGAAGCTCTAGGTTTCAGCCAGGGGCTCAGCCATGCCTTTGCCCTCGGGCGCTAAATCCTTTAAGGAGGTCGACCCCGAGCTGAAGAGAACTATAGACCGTGCGGAAAAGGACTTGGCATGAGTGTTGTTTGCATGGCGTTTCGAGTCCGACCGGCCGTAGTGTGCGTGTGTTTCTCGCTGCTTTGCTTGGAAGCTGTTTGCTGGATGTTCTTAGAGGGGCGGGTGGTCGGAATGCTTAAATGAAACGATAAAACAAAGAATTGTGTCCACACCAATTGTTAGGGCAGTGGCCTAAGCAGTTTCTCGGACATTGGTTGCAACTGCTGACTTAATGTGACTCAATGCTCAATGCTGCTAAACCAATACCCATTCTCTACAGTTGTGAATGAGTTGCAAACAAGTCTCGGACCATTGTTCAACAATTGGCGCCCTGGTGCCCATGACACTCCACCCCCCAACCGGCTTTGTAAAAGCAAGCTGTTTGCTTGTCATGGCCATTGGCAAACGCAGGAGCTGCAGGGCGCCTGCGACGGTTTAGCCTCTCTTGGCCGGGAGCTTCGATCCATTCGAGCTGCGGCGGGTGCGCCAGAGCCTTCCTCCGGCAGCTGGCTGCAGCCTGCGATTCTGCAGGACAGGCTGTGGTCCTAAAACTTGGAGTGCTGAGGGCAGAGCAAACGGCAGTGGCATAGGTGTCCTTTTTGGGTTAGTTTGAGTAAAGATAGATGGCACTGGTTTAGGTGGGGTTTCTTCCGTTTACCAGGGCCATCTATTTTTTCAAAAGGCCACCTATGGTAAGTGGACTTTTTTGGGGCAAGTGGAGTGCATGCTTCGACTTTTGGAAACGTCACGGGCCAGGGTTGGGGCCCAGATCTGGGCCACGCTATGGACTGAAAGGATTCTGGCCCACCGCCTTGTGACCTTTGCAGCATGAAAACTTGTGAGCGACCAATGCTAACCCGTTCATGGCGCCACGTCAGTTTCCAGGCAATACAACATACAAGACCTATCATACACAATCTTCATCAAGCAGCTTTGCATGCCTTGCCTTGGGTTGTTCATGTCAAGCAGCCGCAGTTCCCCGCAAGATGCAAGCAACACGCATGCTAAAAGCTAGCGCTCCAAAGTGTCTGAAGCCTTGCGGCCAGGACCCCCCGGCCTTGGCGCTGCACCAGCTGCAAAAGGCGAACCAAGTGCCTGCAGCGGCGCGTTTCCGGCGAATCAGCAGCCGAGGGGGCGAGGGCCAGTTGAGGCTGCATGGCCGGTGGATGGAGCTGTCCACCCTGGCAGCCGACACTGTGGTGAAGGACGGGCGGATGGGCGGACGGGCGGACGGGCGGGCCCCGGCGCACGCCTGGTTTTGTGGCAGGCGCAGTGAGAGTCCTGGATTTCGTGGCAATGCCCGGCAATTGTGGGGAAGGGGAAGCACTTTTGATCTTTGCGGTCTTGACATGGCAAGCCTTGCATTTGAGGCAAGTTGGCAAGGGCTCACCTTCAACCGCAATGACAAGCTAGGCCAGACAGTTGTGAATTGGTCCGGGCCATCCAGAACCGAGGGAGCTGCCGCCAGGTTGTTAAGTTGCCAGGCAAATCAAGATAGTTGAGCAACCCGTCATGCGTACAAGACATGCCATGACAGCGTGCTCAGCATAACAGTCTCACGTGTGTTTGCATGGCGCAGTTCGGCGCTTTGTGCACGCTTTAGCAAGCTCAGAGTGCACGCACAACACCAGTTCCTCACAGAGTCCCCTGTCAACAGAAGAGATGCTTTCTGCCCTTCGCGTGGGTAATGGTCATTCATGGACCGCTTTGGCCCTGTGGTTCCAAGCCCTACTGAATTGTGCAAGCATTGGGGTTCCCTCATGCCACTCGGCACTTTGAGAGCAGAAGCTATAACATTGACTCCCGCTTGCAGGGTTCAGTGGGTGGTTGTGGCCACGAGGAGAAGTCAAAGACCAAACTGGGGCGATCAACAACTTCTGACGAGTTGTTCAAGACACGGGCGGAAATGAGGAGTTCCTTTGTATTGCACCCACAAGGGGCGTTCAGACTATGTTGGGACATACTGGCACTGCTCCTCCTCCTCAACGATTCCCTCTCCTTGCCTCCAGCCATAGCCTGGGATTTGTCCATGGATTCGGACGTGCCTTCTAGCGTGTTTTTGCGGGTGTTCTTCTTCATCAGCTTGGGCTTCTGGTCAAGCGATATTGTCATCAATCTGAGCACCGCTGTGTATGTGAAGGGCACTCTGGCGGTGGGCAGGCGCGATATTTTTTGCCGCTGGACCCGCATTCGGAGCCAAGGAAGGTTTTGTTTGTTGCTGGAGGGTTCGTTTTAGGACTCCTGCCACCCAGTTATTTGCAAGGGCTTTTCATGCCAAGGGGCCTATGCCAGCTCTTGGATGCTCTTCGACGTTGTCATTTTGAGCATCGACCTTATTCTGCTGTGCATTGGCGTAGGGGCCTCTGACCTTCAAGTCCTCCGCATTGGCCGAATTCTCCGGATGATCCGTTTGATGCGAATCCTGAAGCTCTCCAAGCTGAATTCCATGACACTTGGCTTGAAGTGTTGTCCATGAGGGACGTCACTGGGGTCCAAGATGTACAAACCAATTCATGAAAAATGCCTTGAAGGGGTTGCAGTGTGAAGTTGAATGTCAGGATTGAGGAAAATGCTGCATCTGCGGGACGTCAGTGGGTGACGCTCGTGGTCGCCATCACCAAGACAGCCGTTGGAATGCTGGTCTGCGCGCACTTCCTCACTTGCTTTTGGTTCTGGGTGGGCACATCCATTGGCAGTGCTGGTCAGGCAAACTGGATCACAATTGCAGGTGCTGACAGTGTTCCTGGCTGGGTCCAATACTTACATGCCCTGCGCTGGATCATGAACGCGCCCTCCCCACCTGACATTGATCCTGCTAGTGGGGTCGAGAGGGCCATCGACATTGTCATGGCTGCAACAACCCTGGTTGTCATCGGTTCCGCCGCTTTGCGTTCCTGCAGTGTCGGAGGGTGTCAATATGGTTGACCTTGAAAGGGCAAAAGGGGGCAAGGAGATTGTCCTAAGCCCTGTTCGATTTGAGCAAGTTTTGTCAACTGTTGCTTGTTGAGCGCACAATTGCCCGACCGAGCGGGGTAGCAAGAAATGCCGTACATGTCAGTGATGCCTACGCATAATCAATGGAACCAGCGCAAGCTTGCTATCGCTTGCTCAGCCCCAAAGGAGATAAACTGACAAGGTGAAGCATTCAGCGACGGCCCAGCACATCGTTGTAAGACCGCATGACAAGGCAGCCAATTGAGTGGCCCCTGGGAATTGCACCCGAGGGACAGCCAACCTAGTGAGACTGATGAGGCGCACTTCCACACTGCCAAACAAACCTGAACAAGCTGGTCTTCCTTCAAAGCGTGCATGAATTGCCAAGCTGTCCAAGACCCGCAAAATGACGCAAGCAAAGCTGACGAAAGAGCCTTTCATTTCATCACCACACTGCAAGATGAGATCAACCAAACATGAGGGCAGAGAGGTTGTGTGAGAAGCTGCATTTGGCTGAAGGTATCTGACATTTGCAGACTGGGATTTGAGAGGTTGAAGCACCAACATCACGATCCTGGGTCGACAACTTGAGCAACGCTTGCCCAAGCCACCGCGCAAATGCACAGGCGTGCGCACATGAATCGTTCCCTCGCGCGCTCGCTGGGAACAACCCCATGAGAATGGCCCGTGCGAGAACCGTAGCTAAAATAGCAACATGCGAATCCTTGTCGAAGGTGGAGGGTTATCTTGGTGGCTCCCAGCCATCCCCTTAGCCTTTTAGCTTTTTAGTGTTTAGTGGTAGTTTCCATTTAGCCTACTAACAGTTAAGCTTTTAGCGGGGGATCTGAGGGCAGCCCAGTTATTAAAGCTCCAAAGCCAAGGCCATCTCAAAGATCTCGGGCACCATGGCGGAGTTACGGGCCATGAATGAGGAGAGCGACCGCAAGCGCCGCGATGTGCGGATCTACCTCGCTGGCCAGGCCACGTTGGTTTGGTTACGAAATGTTACGAATAGATGGCACTGGTTTCGATGGGTTTTATTCCATTTACAAGGGCATTTATGTCAACCCAGGCAGAGGGTGGTGACTTGAAAAAGCATGTGTTTACTCGGTTTGGGAGGCTGTTTCTTTCGAGCTCGTGACCCGCATCATGCGCTTCGTGGAATATAAGCTGGAGAAGGTGTCCGCCAATACGCTAGACAGCGCTCTCATCTCACCAAATTTACAGTTGGAGCTTTACGTGAGCCAGCGGGCAGACTTCCTGGGTCAGCTCCCCATCTTTGCGCTAGCGCAGCAGTGCTATCCGGAGGTCTTCGGGGTCATTTGCAAGGCTCTCACCAAAAATTTCTGCGAGAAAGGCGGGACTGCAATTTTGGCATAAGGCATCGCTTCAGACCGTAGCAGGTCATTCTACTGGCAAGCTTGACACGGTTCGGGCAATGATGTGTACCGAAAAAACACGTAGAATTCAACTGGCCATGGGTCAAAATCCCGTATCCCCATTGAACATCCCAATCCCCACTAAAATAGGTTCTAAAATGGGTGGTGCACCTTCCCCAAAATGGGATCCCATTGGTTTTGACCCACGGCCAACTGGAGCTGGTCTTAGGGGAGCCCGTCTTCATCGCCGGGGCCTTTGCCGCTGAATTGCAGATCACCGCCACCGGCAGATACCAATACTCTCAGGCCAGGGTCTGGGCGTCGAGCGGTTCGGCCATGATGCCATGGGGCGGACATGTTTTTTTCCGCGAAGTGGGTGGTGTGTGAAGGGGGG